AGAGCAGAGAGTCATTTCCTCCATAGCTGTGCCTGCTGAGCTACCAAGAGTCTTCATTCACTTCTGTCTGGTATTCACCTTCTTACCTGTCAAGAGTCCCTGCAGATGCTGCAACATGTCTTCCATGCTAGGAGGTAGATCTCATTATAACTATAAACCAATAATTAACTACAAACCGATACTTACCAAGACTTCCCCTGGGAATCAGTGTCCCAGCATCACAGACAGTATGGGGATTCCCAGATACATTTTTGGAAGTGGTACACAGAAACAATTCTTGACATGTGATTCATGTGATTGCATTTCGAGTCCCTGTGATTTGATTGCTGCTTTGATCACATCTCACAAACAAGTTCATGTCCAAAATTAGGCTGGAAAAAATGCTGCTGTAATTATTTAGAGGAAATAGGAAGAGGGGAACATCTTCCACTGCCAGCTACTATGCCCACTAAGATAACAAAGGTTTTGGCAGAAGATAGTGTTGGGCATGTGCTGGCATTCTCCAGTTTGAACCTCTTCCAGAAACCGATGGTGAGAAATAACCAATTTAGTGCAAGCCTGAGAGGTACCATGAGTCACACGGGTCTAAGAGCTGTGTAAGAATAACAGAAAGGTTTGATCAATGCTCTTTAAACTGTTTTACAGGGACTTTCTCCCCTGCCCAGGCCATTTTACATGCTTATTTACTACAGTGTAAATCATACTTTGCGGAGCTGAGATGACAAATGAAGCCTGCCACAATTCTGCATGAAATGTAACGTGTTTTCTTAGGCGAGACAGGAGTTGACAGAGCATCAAATGATCATGTTCCATCTATAACTTTCACTCTGTCAAGTCTTCTGTCCTCTGCAAGCCAATTATAATAAATACAGCTGACTGCATATAGCCAGAGGAAAATGAAGGCAGCTCTCGAACATATGTAGAACTACAAGATTCAGACATTGGTAAATCCTTTGATTGTTTATATAAAAGCAGTGTTCTGTTCTCTTTGAAGACAGTAAGAAGTTGGAAACCATATATCTTAGAAATCAACACTGAAATGTAAGTAAGAATATCCAGCTCAGAGTAACACCCTCTTACAGTGGGAGCTGAAGACGGTGTCAGATGGTGTCATCTGAAGGTGGTGTCAGTAAGCCTGGCTGGGTGAAGGATCTTTATCATAGGAAGCATTTCTGAGATCATGAGAAGCAGTACTGATTTATCCTCCCACAGGTATTAACACCTCAAGCAACACAACTAGCATATTGTTTGCTAGAGAGAAATAACCAAAACCACACCCCCCGCTTGCATTTTTTGGAATTACTTTCTTCGGAACATCTGAAGGAAGAGAATAATTTAAGAAAATGTATACTTTCAGGAAATTAATTTTTGAGGTTATTCTGTTAGTATGTCTTTCACAAATAACATGCGGTGCTTCTTGCTCAGCTGTTAGTGATAAAAGTTTGCATATTATTTTTTGTGTGTAATTATGCTATACAGACTCCCCCCCAGTCTTGCAAGCTCACAATTAAAATTACATTCATACTAAATTATACTATAACTAGTCATGGGGTGTAATGCTTTCCTTCTCTTAACACTCTTATCTCAGTCTGAAAACAGAGAGACTGAATGCTTCCATGTGGCCACTGGATACTTCTTTTCTTAATAATGATTAATTACGTCCCAGAGCATCGCTGGTCTCAGCCTGATGTATGGCTTTAAGGATCCACACTGGTCTCTCATGTTCTCACTGTGTTAACTAATTCAGAAGGTGAATTTCATAAGAAAGATTATTTCTGCACGAAGAAGTAAAAATGCAGTGGGCAGCACATGGCTGCCATGGCATGAACAGTAGTGAGGGAGGAAGCTCCGCTGGGCTCCTTCTGAAGGGCCAAGCACAGGCACGGCCATCACTGAGCAAGGGATGGAGATACAGGCAGACACCAAGACACTCGTGACTTCAAATTGTCAAGGGGCTGTCTTCATGCCAGCTGCTACATCTTCTGCTTACTGGGTTTAGTGGGCACTCTGGGACCCATGTTCTGCTCTGTGTAGTCAGTGCAGATTACTCAAGATTCATAAAATATGAAAGGAAGAAAAGGAATTCTTAAAAAGTCATGCAGCTTTATGATTTCAGTCATAAAACGATACGTCTAATACAATCACTTTTCTGGAAGCCTAGTATGGGGATACTGTTCTCAAAAGTCCTGTTTCATAGCAAAAAAAGTGTATTTCATCAAGGCAGTTACCACTATGAAAAGGATAAAAGATATCATTATAAATTGAATATACATCTATCAGAAAAGAACCACAGGCTAAGAGTACATTTGTTTCAAAATATATATTGGATTATTCCATTATATTCTATTTTTGTCTATTTATAGAAATTTTTATTTCTTTTTTTACTGAAGACTGCTCCATTCCTATTTCAGAAGGAAAATTGCTGGTGACTAAAACACATCAGAACCTGGGAAAATAGAGAGCTGCCAGGCTCCTTTACATTTTAGTGGATTAGAGAATAAGGCATTTTATTTGTTAGTGTAAAGCTGCGAGTACCAACCTTACCGCAGAGCGAGCAAGGGCACCACCTGCTGTTATAGGAATGTATTTATTTGGGTCGTGAAAGTTACTCAAGTACTGCATTCAAAACCAGTGAGGACTACTAAACAAGCTGTACTTTAGGAAAGCCTTCTCCTGAAATCTAAGCTTATGCAAGACAGTTTTAACAAATTATGTGTTTGCAGTTGCCTGTTCACACAGTGAACTGTACTGCAGCAACAATGCTGGCTATACATTTCTGAATATGGGGTACTTACAGATTTTTGAAAGCAAAAACTGTGCTTCACACTTCTTGTCTGCTTTAGTATATGGGTTCTTCTTCACCCAGGGCATCAAAATCTATCATTCACAATATTGTCAATAGTTCTGATTGGTTTTTTATAACCACTGAAAGTTTACTCACTACCTTAAGTAGAAATAACATCTTTATCATGACAATAATTTAGGTCATTTTATGAGCTGAAGGTTATGGGATAAATAATCACTACCAGATAAGTAAGACATGAAACTATAGCTCAATTTTTGAAACTTTTCAAAGGACCTTGTTCCCAAAAGGCTCCTAGTTGAGAAAACACAGGTTAGTGCACATCCAGCTGCAGTGAGCAGTCCCTTGACCAGCAAACAGAATTGTATTCTTATGCACAGATCTGATTTAAACATACATGCAGCACGTGTAAATTCAACTGTCTGGCAGTTCTGAGACACTTCAAACCAAGCAAATCAAATCCCTCGCTGACCAGGAGATAAGCTGTAGAGTGCAATTAAAAAGTCTGAGCAGTAGCTCAGATCCTCTGAGTTATAGAAGGCTGACCGTCTGCTTAATTCTTCCTGCATGCCACAAGGACTCACCCTATAGTCTTCTCCTCTTCTTCTGAATAACACATGGCACTTTGGAAAACCCTGCATCAGGCTGATTAGACATAAGCAGACTCATGTCTTTTATAGGCTGGTAAGGGACTTCTGTGAGGACTGGTCATTTATAAATAAAATAATCATCTGAAATGGCCAGTTCCATCCAGGGGCCCTCAGGCAATTGGCCAGACAATGTCCTCAAGGATTTGAAATGAAAGTGAGTTCAGAACAGCAGAAGCCTTTGCACAAATTTGGGAAAACCACATGAAACACTAACAAATTCTGTGCTTTTGCCAAGGAAAAAGATATAACAGCCCATTTCCTCTTCAGACAACCAGAGCCACAACTCACCGTACCCATTTACAAGCAGAATTATAAGAGACATTTTAATTTATATCCTGCATGATTCAGTTCTGACTCATGCATGAAAAATTCCAGGGAAGAGTAAAAAATGTGTATAACTTGATTGTTTCCCATGAGCTAAGATGAAGTTAGTAGATCTTTCTAACATGTTCACATCAAACATATTTCAGTAATAGATTCACAACCCATGTTTTGTCTATCAGGACCCACTCTTTCAAGGTAACAATAGAGATGTCAATACAGTGTCCTGCTGTTCCCTTTTGAAGATGCTTTGTACATCTGAAAGATGTGCAAAACAAAAATAATCTAGGATTGCATCAAGCTTGTGCATTTATTGGTGGCTTATTAAAAGTTAATTAATTGCTGTAAATGAAGGCTAATAACAAACTAGTAAAAACTTTTTCTTTTCTTCTGTTTTTTTATACAAATAGTTTTATTACAAACTTGAATTCTTAAGAAATACACATGTAAGAAATTACACAAAGGCCTTGGCATTTGCAAAAATCTTTTGGTATTTGCATGGTAATAGTCTGTAAAACACTTTTGGACACAGAGGTGCTCAAACAATGGTATCATTGCATAGAAACTCTTTAGAAATATTTCTGAGGCCACTTTGAATAGATTTTTTGGCACAATATTAACAAAATTAAGGCCTTATACTTTTCAAAATCAAGTCATTCAGTGTGTGAGTAGTGTTTAAAACCCTGAAAAATATTAAATACAGAATAAAGACTATAAGCTCAAAGCAGGATTTACTATAATAAGAACAAATAGCTATTAACCTGGGTTCAGTCTCTGCAACTTCAGCATTGAAATGGTCTGTGTAAAATGAACATTTCACATCATATTTTGGCATTTAACATCTAATTCATGACACTGAAAAGAAGAAAACTTTTGTAAGCTTCTTTCTGAAATGATAAACTCAGAGCTTGATTTGCCTAATGGTTGATATCTATATAAATTACTAAAATATTTATATATATATTTTTTCTTGACCATTGCTGGATCATTCTTTATTCCACAGGAAAGTTTGTTCTACTACATAAAGAAGCTGCATAGTACCAACATAGCAGAAATGCTTACTTGCCTATTTGGGAAACCAATTTGGCAGTCTCTTCCAGATGTAGTCCCACTAAACCCGATAGCACTAAAGACTATAAACAGAAGCAAAGGTTTGCAGGATGGCACTCTATGTTGTGAAAAGATGGTTACGTGTTGCTTAACCACAGTCTGTAATCCCAAAACTCTTTTTTACAATAGTATTGCTTTGTACAGGAACAATAAGTACATACCCAAGAGTCTGGGATTTTGAGACACCTAGATAACGGTAACAACAAACTTATCTGGGGAAGAAAAATGAATCTAAATATATAATACAAGAATGAGAAAGGGGGGTCAAACAGTATAAGGCAGAACTGCATACCTCCTAGCACCTTTGCATTTTTTCTGGATAAATGCTGACTTTTTATTCTATCAGTGCATTGCATTTATATAAAAAATACATATACTTTGATCAAAAGTGCCATTTGGCATGTCAACATTTGAAGCTTATCTTTGTTGTCTCTTTTCTTCTTCAGCAAGGACAGGGCCAGTAAAGCAGTGTGTGTTAGTTATGCAAGTTCCTAAAAGGCACTTTACTGTTTTCATATTGGACAACAATGAGGTACATATGATATATGTCTAGGCTTCATTGCTGTTAAACGAATAGCACCATATTGTGTGAAATTAGTTGAAATTCAAAAGTCATTATGTTTTTCTCATACAGACTTGACAACGGCTAACATTTGAGCGCAGATCCCCTGCTTTCAAAGTTGAGGGAGTTGGTTTCCTATTGGAAAGAAATAAATGAAGAAAGCCATTAACAACTGTTGATACAGTCAGTTTTCAGGTTTATAATTAACACAAAATTTGTATGCAGCCTCTTCAAACTGTGTGAATCAAGATGTCCTTAAGTTCACTTTCAATTTTGGTTGCAAACTATCACAAGATTAGTTTTAAACATCATCCACTTTCAGCTACTTCAGAATTAATTTCTGACACAAGACTGAACATTTTCTTATCCAGAAGACATCACCTGTTTAACCAGCAGTTTGAAAACATGCTGGAATTTGGGCAGTAAAAAAAAATAACAGGCAAAGAAACTAAAGACATTTGACTGCTTATGAGTTTCTCCTAATTCTTGTGACTTTACACAAAAATGAAAAGCCAGCAAAGGAAATTATGTGATGCTGTATAGAAAGACAAACCAAAACCTTTAGTCTCTAACATATCATACCACAAGTTACTCCTATCAACTACTACTATCAACCTATCAACTACTAGTTACTCCTAGCAACTGGAAACAAAGCTTTTTTGAGACAAAAGTGTGCTTACATTTAATGCTTATCCTTAAAAGGGATTATGAGCTTATAGAAAACTGAAAAGTATTTGTGAGTTATGATAGTAGGACAGATACCGTGATCTGGGATTATTTTACTAATATGAGATACAGTTTGTGGCCAAAAAAGGGTATGAAGGCTCTAAACCACAACAACAGGTCTCTCGGTAGGACTCAATGAATACACACAACTGTAGTGCCGACTCCTCTAAGTTTTCCTCTGAGAGCTTTCCTCTTTCCTAGGGTGCCAGTGCTTACCTCAGTGTTGGCAAATGGGCTCTTGCTGTGTAACTTTTCCAGCTGATGAGATTATCACAGCCCCAGTGATAATCAGTCCTGGTGTTCAATTTTTCTACCTAATCAGCTGCCAACTATCTTATAGACAGTCAAAACGAGCTAAACAACCTGCTTCATTTTGATTGAGACAGGCTAAGGAGCATTCACAGATCTAGAAGGCATGGAGAAGGGTACAAGATGAAGGGTGCCAGGAGTTGCAGCCTGAACTGCGGGGAAGAGGATGCTTGTCTGCACTTCAGAGGAATGTCTGCTAATCAGGTAAGCTGTGCAGACCTGGGAACTGGTTTATATGCTAAAACATTCATAAAATTCATATGGAACAAATTAGATTGTATTGAAAAATTCTTATGTGCAGGAGATCAGAACAAAGCCTACTACCACTTAATTCCTCAAATTAGAACGTCAGTGGGACTGAAGAAATACCTAAGGCCTCTGCCTCCAGCTGCATTTTATTCAGACATACTTCCTACAACATTAGGGAGAGGTAAATAATTGCTCAGCTCATTTAGTTCAACACCTGCACTAATTTCAAGTGGTTCTTTTATGTGCTAACATCCACTAGGGGGAATATTGTATTCTAACTTAGTTTCCATCAGTACATCAGCCTATCCCAGTTACAACTCAGTGAATACAATCAAACATAGTGGAAATGCAAACATTGTTAGATTATTCTGAAAAGCAAAATACCAGGTACAAATGACACATGGTAAACACTAATGGAAGATACATTCATTAATTCCCCCAAAAGCTATTATAATATTTTTCTTTTTGTTACGAAAATAATTAACTGCAAATACCTACCAGGCTGGGGCACAGCCAATACCTGAACCATGTATTATATTCAAACAATCCTTCCCTTATTCAGTGACAAGGCTTGACTGAGCCTCAAATACTGATAAATAAATCATGAACTTACTTGAACATCTCATTCCTCTCTATAGTGGCAAGCCAGAAGCTGTAAGCATTTGCATAATAATTGCAGGTGCCTCGGCCATGGCATTCAATGAAGGGAGCGCTGCGAAACTCCTCTAGGCAGGAACCAGGAGACGCCAGGGCCTGGCCAGAGCCCTCCGCACCAGCACTGGTGTGCTAGAAAAATGCAAAAACATCAGTCAGAGAGGGACTCTTTACTTCTTCTGCTACAACACCTATCAACTCTCTTGCACAAATATGTCTTCACATGCCTCTCCTTGTCCTCTGTTGCATCTGTCTGCTGTACTGTCCCTCAGCTCAAGGAGGAGCAAGATGGAGCCGAAGGGCTCCAGAGGTGGCACTGGGTCCTCTAGCTTAATGGCAGCACAACACACCAACAGCATCAACCTCAAGGCAGCTGCATGCGCAGAAATCCTTCAGTAGAACCCAAGCTACCTCTGTGCTAGCAACAGGCCAGGGTCAGCTCTCCAGTCCAGAAGGCAGACAGACTGGCATGGTATATATCTGAATAGCTTAACCCCAGTCCTGCCCCACACCACAGTGGCCTCTCTCCCGCTGCCAAGTGCTAACAGCTCTGGATCCATGCTGTTTCTCAAACTATGCCCAGACCTTGCCTGGGAGAGCGGCTGTTGACACAGGCTGTGAGCATGACATGAAGTATGCTAACAACTAACCACTATGCAGGACTACAGACTGGCTCTTCCAGGCCACTCCTTGGCCCTATTTATTTTACTAGTAGAGATACACCTGAAGAAACCGGATACAAGTTAAAAAATGCCATTTGAAAACTGAAGGCTTATTTATGAAAAAATGGAGAGAGGACAGGCACTGATATGCTACCACCCTAGGAAGCTGCTGCAACACAGATGTAGAAGGACAATGGAAAATTATGCTTATTTCCTCACTTATTCAGCACTTGGATTCTGTGCTGGAGCTGCAAACAAGATATCAAGCTGTGTGCATTTCCCCAAAAGTGAACAGCTAATGTCTACTGCATTATTCTCATTTAGTAATTAGAACATTTTTTGAAGTGACCAGAAAGGGTAGAGGTCTAATGCCCTCCTAAGACACGAAGTGACACAGACAGATATTAACTTTCCTAGAGCAGGAAATCCCTGAAACAAATGCTTTTCTCAGCTCAGAGTATGCCCCAGTGCACTTACCATGACAAAGGAGTAACCAATCCAAAGTGAACTCCAGCCTTCAGGACATGGTGGTATTTGAATTGTTTGACTGTGAACAGCTATTACCATAGCAGGAGCTTCACATACAGAGCATCTAGAAAGACCAAGACACGAATGAGCTAAATGAACTTGAGGATTAATACTTCTTCTTTCCAGAAATTACTTTCTTTAAGGAACCTTGAATTAGAAAATGTCGTCACTGTCAAAATCAAAGGAAAATCACAATGTTTCATTCAGAAAAACAACGAACTGGTTCTTTACTGTTTTTTCTCATTTACTTAGGGACATCTTAACTTAATAGCTAAGTTGATTCCTATTAGCTTTCCTATGAGCAAAGAACAAAAGACCACTCATCTGAATATTTAAATGTATCTGTCTTTTTCTAGTCACATTCCTACTGTAGTTGCTCAATGTCATGAACATGAGAGGCAAATAGGCAAACAGTGTAACTCAGCAAATATCACTTAAAAGTGGTCTCCTGTGATCAGAGACAAGTAACAGCAATTCATCCTCTTAAACATAGCCCTGAGTGACTTCCAGAGAGAAAGCCATCTCTCTGGAAAACATATCACAAAGGCAGTCACTGCTAATCTAATCTGATGCAGACTTTTCCCCATGCATTTTCCTTGACAAGTGGCTTTTATTTACATCTGTGGGTTTTATCTCCCAAAGAGATTTCTAGCAAAGTAATCTGAACAATGAACTTGAAAGCAGCTCTTCAGAAAGCTGTGCAGCACCAGTTCTTTTACTTCAGATAAACTCGTGTCTTAGAACTGCTGGGTTACCGAATAATCCTATGACCAATCGTGCCTTCCCAAGAGAATCACAAAAAAATGTGAGCTAGAAATTTTAATATGGGAGCTGGTAATGAGGAATTTGGTAGATATAATCCATTTTTTCTTGTACAACTCCTAAATTGGCTACTGCAGTTAGCAATGACGAAAATGATTCAAAACAGATACTCAGAACTAAACAGTCTGATTCCTATTATCAGAGTGATGAAAAGAATCAAGTGCAAAATGGATTAAGTTGGATTCTGGAAAATGCACAGAAGCAAAGGAATTCAGAATGAAAGCCTTCTATTTCTGACTCGTGAAGACTGCTTTCATACCTACTGCCTTCATCATTCATGCAGAAGCAAGGCAGTTATTTTAAGAAACACATCAATGAAAGAGTAAGTTAAAAGAAGAATGTAAAGCTGCCTCTATTCTTGGAGCTCTGCTTTGCTTCAAGAGATTTCTGGTATTTCAGTGGAAGGGCCTGACATGAAAGAAGTCCCATGACCCAAGGCAGCAAGTGACACTTCTACACCTTTTCAACTTTTGGACAGGGAAAACTGTTGGTTTAAAAGACTCAACTAATAAAATAAATGGAAAGAATAGTTTTCTCAGAATCCTTGCTGTTTTGAAAAATGTGTATTACAATTATCTCACTTTCTGCTATGGCTAAAAGAAAAACCCATATACACACATTTGCACACATATACATATTTATATACACACATATACATTTTTTTATGTTGCAAAAGTTACTCTACATGCATAACATAAGCCAAAATGTTGATGGGTACCTCCTTGAGCAAGAGTTTCAAAAGTGATTGTTAAAGGTTATTTTGGGTGTTTGATCAGGGATGGCATAAAAGGAGCATGGATATCAGAGGTTGGTCATTTGAATTTTTCTGAAAGTCAAGCCCCTTCCATTCACATTCAGTGATCAACCAAAAAAGTAAGACCAATAAAAACAACAGTCTTTCTTGAGAATCTTGCCCTCAATCTGCCCACTCATTTTCAAAGCATACCAATTTCTATGGCACTAAACCAAAAAGAGAGTACAACTGCTGACACAAGATGGATTCTATTATGCAAAATAAATAACAAATGTTTTGCAGTAGAGCCAGACAGTTTTTTGAACACACCAAGATGTCAAGACTACAACCCACTGATGATTTGAATTGTCCTTTCTCTTGAATACAGACCCAAGAAAACAATTACAGGACTCTCCACTTTCATTCACTTTACATGGCAGGAAGAAGGATCAGCAAGAACTGATACAGATTAGAAGCAATGATAGGAATCATAGTAATGCATGTATCTAATGATTATGATTTAAGTTATAAGTCTGAGATTCCCTTGTCAGATTCTTATCTAACAGCAGTGGTACAGTTCACCACACTGCTATTCACACCTCTGCCCTCAGCACTGGGTATATTCTGCCAGGAGATTTTCTGCTAGTGGCCTTAAAATTTAAAATGGACCAAAAGTTCAACATGTTGGATTGATGCAGAACAGTTATGTCTGATATAAGTGCCACACTTGATGCTAGCTGAGAATCTGGAATTATTGAAAAAGAGATGATTGATTTTGCAACTACTTTCTTTAATTCAGACAATAATGGCTGTATTCAAGCAGTATGTCCAAAACAATGGAAGAAGCCTGGCAGTCTATCATATGATAAACAATGTTACCATTTTCAAACAAAGCAAACTGAGCCCTGAAAAGCTTCTAGCTATGGCTAGTCAAAAAAACAAATAGAATTTGTTTTGGACAAGAATTGTGAATAAATTCAAAACTTTTTCTCCTTCAAAGTACATCATAGCTTTTGCAAAACATGATTTCAAAGTAAATCTCTCCATTTCAATTAGACTCAAAATAGACTACTCTATTTGTCTGGGTTTCCCCCAAAATGGATTTACTTTTGATCAAAGTCTGCACTGAAAACATGCACTCTTTGAAACATTTCATCAAAGGAACTCAAGCTTTAAATTTAAAGGCAGGAAATAAAAATATACCAATTAAGAGCCTTTAAAAAAATAAAGTACCACACGCACTTTTCATAAGCTTCTTCATTTTACAAACACAGTAAAACTGAAACCATACCTGCTGATGAATGGTCTGATATTATCACCAGTGATAGGAGCCATATTCATTGGCATGGGTTCAGGAGTGGACAGCCAGTAGGAATAGTCATTCCTCGATGCAAAATTACATACATTGTTGATATTGCAGAATAAGAAAGGCATAGTACTAAATTTACGAAGACAGCTTCCTGCCGTGCCTGAAATGTTAAGTGAAAGGTTACTTGTTAACCCATTTTTGTTAAACCATTGCCAACTGCCAAACAAATACCTACAGGAGCAGCTAAAAAGCAGACAACACATGCCCTGGAGGGCCCAGCTCTCTCAGAGAAAGTGACTTTTGGTAGCTTCATAAGGAAGGAACATGGCAAGGCAAGGAGTAGCCCAGTATGGAATAACTTTGGTTGGAGGTCATCTAATCTAAACCCCTGCCAGTCAGATCAGGTTGCTTGGGTCCATAGCCAGTTGAGTTTTGAGTATCTCCAAAGACAGAGATTCAACAAGCTTTCTGAGGTCCCTTTCCAATGTTTGAGCATCAGCATGGTAAAAAACCATTTCTTTATGTTTCACTGGAATATCTCTCATGCTTGCGTCCACTGCTTCTTCTGTCAGATGTGGTCTCACAACTGCCAAATAGAGGGAAAGAATCACTTCCCTCCATCTGCTGGTTGCACTTTTGCCAACAGAGTCCAGTAGGTCCGGCATGGGGTGGTTGTTGCAACGGCACTCCCCTAACTCACGTTCAGTGCTGCTCACCAGGACTCCTAGGTCCTTTTCTGTGAAGCAGCTTTCTAGCAGTCTGTATTGCTGCTACTGGGGATAGCAGTCACTTCTGTTGCATGAGATTATTTCATTCGAGGCACACTCCATTACATTTGCCTTTACTGGACTTCATGAGCTTCTTCTCAGACCTTTTCTCCAGCTTGGCCAGGTTCCTCTGAATGGCAGCTGTGTCCACTAGGGAATCAACTGTTCCAATCAGGCACTACCCACAAACTTTCTGAGAGTGCACTCTATCCCATCACCCAATTAATTGATAAATTCATTAAACAGTATTGGCCCAGAACTAATTCGTGAGGGACATCACTGATCAACAGCCACCATTCAGAATTTGTACATCTAATCACATCCCTCTGTGCCCAATGGACCCATCAATTTTCCACTCATCATCTACTTAGCCAGCCCATATCTCACTAATTTGACTACAAAGATACTATGGATAACCATGTCAAATGGTTTGATAAAGACTTTCTTAAATAAACTGACACTGTTTCAACTATACACCAAACCATTATTTGTAACAACCTAGAAGGCATAATAAAGCACCAACTAGCCTAGGTTTGTTCAATACAGTTCTACAAATTAAAGAAATATTTGGTTCGTAATGAATTCTGATCTGGTTTCTACTTACCCAGATCTTGGCCATGTGCTCTTTCATTGCCTTGTACATAAAGCAAGGAGTAGCCATGGTAAATCAGCCTTGTTCCAAATGGACACGATGGTTCTTCAATGGTTTGACTGTGTCTGGTAACAAGGAAGCCATGAGCAACAGATGGTGCACCTGGTGGGCCCATAGCCCCAGGCAAACCTTCAGGGCCAGGTGGACCAGGGAATCCTCTGGGCCCTACAATACAGAGAGTCTCCTTTTATCTCTACGAACAGTAGTACTCTGCCTACATAACTAAAGAAGTGAAATTAGATACATTCACACTTAATCTCCTATGTTATTTTTCTATGAAGGAATCAAGTCTTTGAATAACTCATGGACTCACCTGGGGGACCATAAGGGCCAACTTCTCCTTTTTGCCCAGGTTTACCATCAAACCCAGGACTACCAGGTGGTCCAGGTACACCCGAAGGTCCTGTCACCCCTGTTGAAAAACAACGAATAGTTATTACCAGATATTAGTTCATCTTAGTTCTGACTTCTTGGCTTTTAATACAGTATGGCACAGGCAGACTTCAGTATTAACTAAAGTCATGCAGATTCAGTGCATATATTTCAGTATCTAGAGCACATATGTGGGTTACTGCAGGCAAAATGATAACAGTAGAGAAGAACACAGAAGTAAACAGAGGCTGTGCTTCTAAAATAACTAGTATTTGCCTGGAACACGTCAAGTAATTCTGATTACTGCTGATCTCAGATACTGATGTGATGACTGGAGAGTGAGAGCCTACAAAAATCTCTAGGAAGGCATCTGTTTCTGTGACTCCTTTGGATGAGCTTCAAAAAGGACTCTCTTCCTCATAACTGACACAACTTAAGTGGCTTACAATAAGCTAGATAATATTATACCAAAATTACTCTAGTGTCTAGCCTACCATTGATCTATTTTTACATTACCTAATTTGTATTTCTACTGGCAAGTTAGAAACACTCACCTTGCTGTCCTTTGGGACCTGGAAGTCCCGGGAATCCCTTGAGACCAACTGGTCCAACAGGGCCAGGTAAGCCAGGATCCCCTTTAATAAGCTGAAAAGCACCTGGTGGGCCCGGTGGGCCTTGTAAACCTGCCAAAGTTAACAGAGGAAATCAGCACATATTCAGTGTTGGGCAATGAAAACAGTGAGAAAACAGTGTTATCTTGCATTGCTATTTATGTAGTCAGAGAATAGGCAAAGCCTATAGCTACAAAATATCAATATGTCCAAGACTTTATATGTGCGTTGAATAGGATGATACCTGTTACAAAACCAAACCAAAAGTCAACTTGAGGGTAGAAGACAATAGGGGTTAAGGCAAAATGGGGGAAACAGTCTGGACTGAGCCTCTGCCAGTGACAAGTCTCTGGTAACACCTAAATAGCACCACATGCTGCTGCTGAACACCATATTGCTATCTCCTGATGTCCAATGGTAGGTCTCATCTTGATGTCCAGTGATGTAAACATAAGGAAAAACTTCTTCACTGTGAGGGTGACAGAGCACTGAACAGGCTGCCTAGAGAGATTGTGGAGTCTCCTTCTCTGGAGACATTCAAAACCCGCCTGAATGCGTTCCTGTGTGACCTAGTCTAGGTGATCCTGCTCTGGCAGGGGGGAGGGTGGATTAGATGATCTTCAAAGATCCCTTCCAACCCCTACCATTCTGCGATTCTGTTATCTTCTACATTCCCATTTCCCACCAGACAGAACAGAGCAGGCCCACAGATGTAGATCTGAGCAGAAGCATTGTGACCAGGGTGTGCAAACAGGGAGCAGCATCTGTTGGGGGTGCACTGGCAGTGTGCACAGCAGTTTGCTCACAACTGCATACTCTACCAGTTATCAGGCTGCTGCCTGCTCTGTTCACCAGTAGGCTCAGGCTGCAGCCCCGACAGTCGTGCCAACTAACTGAAGACTGTGCAGGCCTACCAAGAAGCTTGAGGTCTCCAGGGAGTTAGAATTAGAAGGACAACATCTTTCAAAAGAATCGCCATTTTTTTAAGTGAATGCTTTTTCTAAGAACTGTAAGGAGATTGTGGCTTGCTGAAAGAAAATGGTGTCCACCACAGCTGCAAGGCTGTGGCTGAAACCCAAACGGAAGCATGACAGCCTATCTATGCTGATACCTCCTCTCCAACAGACCTTCCAAGGACTGAAATAGCTTTCCAGACCTCAGGTTGCACGGAGTTCCCTGAGCAGGTTTGTGGATGACACCAATCTGAGTGGTGTAGTCAATATGCTGAAGGGAAGGAATGCCATGCAGAAGGACCTTGGCTCGCTTGCAAAGTGGGGCAATGTGAACCTCATGAAGTTCAACTGGACAATCTCCAGTATCAGTACAGACTGGGGAATGAATGAACTGAGAGCAGCCCTGCAGAGAAGGACTTGGAGATACAGGTAGATGAAAAATTGGACGTGAGCCGGCAACACGTGTTCACAGCACAGAAAGCCAACCATATCCTGGGCTGCATCAAAAGCAGCATGGCCAGCAGGTGGAGGGAGGTGACTTCCCCTCCTCTACTTTGCTCTCATGAGACCCCATCTGGAGTACTGCATCCAACTATGGGACCCCCAGCATAAGAAGGAGATGGACCTGTTAGAGCTGGTTCATGAAAATAATCAGAAGACTGGAACACCTCTCCTATAAAAACAGGCTAAGAGTTGGAGTTATTCAGCCTGGAGAAGGCTGTGGGGAGACCTTATTGTGGCATTTCTATATAGAAAGGGGGCTTACAAGATAGATGGAGAGAGATGTTTTACCAGGGTCTGGAGTGAAGAGAACAAGAAGTAACAATTTGAAGCAGAATGAGGGTAGATTTAGATTGAGCTTAAGGAAGAATTTTTTTTTTTTAAACACTGAAGGTGGTAAGGCAATGGAACAGGTTGTCCAGAAAAGTTGTGGATGCTTCATCATTAGAAATGTTCAAGGCCAGGTTGGATGGGGCTTTGGGAAACTTGATTAAGTGAAAGATGTTCCTGCCCACAGCAGGGTGGTTGGACTAGAAGATCTCTAAAAGTCCCTTCCAACCCAAACCATCCTGCGATTCTACGGTTCTAGGATACCATTTAAAGATTCTAATAATGACAAAACCTCAATATTGATTTTTCAGAGCAGGAGATAAATACATTAACTCTCTATCCAACACTTGAATCTAATCTGACCATTCAGATGCTGATACCATGATATCTGGTTTCAGTCACATGTGGTGTTCCCCAGGGCTCAGT